TCAGGAGTGTTTTTTTTTTTTTTGTACAATGTTTGCCTGTTGCTTTCTAAAGCCGCCGTGTCAATGTATAAGTGATGAGGCATGCGAACGTAGGCTAACATGTCATTGTGGAAAAATTTCAGCGAGCCTGTGGCGATAAACATTCGTTCATTGTGTTCATTGTGCTGCTAACTCGTGAGAATGCATGAATCTGTTGGTCATACACTTGGATATTAGATGTGGCATTAGGTTTGCTTGTTTGCAGCACAATGGGTTTTTTCTTTCAACTCGTCAAATAGTATTAGCCAAAGAACGGTTGCTGAGTAGTTTGACTAAGGAAAACAGGTTACCTTTTACAGCTGTAACAAAGAGTGACTGTGATTCTAGTAGATAAGATGGATAATAACATCTGACTTCTGGCTTGCTTGTGTGTGTGAGAGCCCGAAGCAACTGATTCTCAGTCTACAAAAGCAAGGTTGTGTATAGTTTTAGAGTACAAAAGTTTGTGAAGCGCCACTCAGTCTATGAGGAGGAAAAAACATGTAATGTTACTGAACCGAAGCTGAAAATTGTTTACAGTAAGTGCTGGCACTAGATTTTCAATGTAAATACAACCCACTATGCTAAGATTTTTTCAGGGAGCTTTATTTTCTCTCAGGTTTTTTTTGTTTCAGTTTGCACGATGGAAAAACCCCCACTAAATGTCTTCTTGTGGAGGGTTTAGCTTCCCTCTTCCAGTTATAAAGGACTTTTAGATACTTTTTTTTTTTTACTGAGTTAGTCGACTTTAACAAGGTTTGCTTTGACCCCAGGTTGAAGTTGCTTAAGGTTTTATCTTCCACAATGTCCTCTTTTCGCAAATGCTAATTCAGCACTTTTGTAGTTTTCAATGTTCCCATCAGTTTAACAGCATTGCTCTTTGTTTGCTAATTATCACTTCCTTATTTAATAATGTTTCTTAATTGATTTAATTATATTCTAGTGAGTGTAAACAGCAGGGTAAAAGTCCAGTGCTTTTGTGTGCAGATTAGTCAATATATTGATGTTAGCCCGGTGGCTAATCTTGTTTGATTTTCTTACTTGGTTTTGTTTGTGTGACTGTAATGTTTTTTTTTATTAATTTGGTCTGTTAAAGTTTGTTAGATGCTATTGCTAACATTCTATGCTAGCTTAATCCTAGTGTAGCACAGCACAGTAGCATGTGAAGCTGACTTAGCAAAAACTAGCAACGTTTAAGGTCCATTCACACCAAGAATGATAACTAGCCTATAATAACTATATTAGCGGACTGGCTAATGGATGGAATCTGATTGGCATACGTTTTTATCGTTGATCAACCTGAAAAAACAACAACAAGTTTAAGGTCTGTTCACACCAAGAACGATAATTATAACGATAGCTATGTTAGCGAATTGGCTAATGGGTGTTTTCTGATAGGCTACCAATGTTTATATCATTCTTCAACTGGGGAAAAAAAGTTCTGAAAGTAATTCCGAAAATATCGTTCCTCTGTGTCATAATTTGCTATTAAAATAGAATTAGAACGATAAAAATTAATAGTTAAGTTATCATCCTTGGTGTGAACGGACATTTAGGTGCCACAAACAGCTACAATGGTGAAAAAGCGAGCATTTGAACAATTTTAACACAAAAGCATTGTTGTGGAAGCACTTCACACTTGTGTATCCACTTCCATTGAGGTCGAACCATGCTAACCTGTGATATTAATTAAACTTAAGTGCACTTATTGCACAAAGTAGTACTAGCGAGTAAGTTGCTGCACTGTCGGAGCATGTCGGCCCTTTTTGACTGGCATTCTCTTCCCCTCCATCTTTCTTCCACTCTTTAAACTCTCTCCTCTACGATGGTATTTTAAGACCTACGAGACAATATAAAGTAAACAGAGGAATTGTCCTGCATACGAGAGGGCCTCATTTTACATAAACAAACAGTGCTCAGGAGAGTGGCCCTGTCAACAGCCCAAGCCTTTTCCACACACTCAGCACTCACAGACGGGGTGGGGGTAGATGGCGAGAGAGAAACCAGGCACCCCCCTCCGGCCTGTCCCACCTCCCCGCCTTCAGCTACAGAGGGGACATTGTCCAGGCCTTTAAGTTAAGACAGCATTCCTGTAGTGCAAGACGGTTCAGGAAACCTGACAACCGGTGTACGAATGTTTGTACAAATGACCAAATAAACACAGCTTTACAATTTTATCCTGACTTAATGTGTTATGTTTTTTTCTCTTCTGTAAGGATAAACTCAACAAATCCAAATTAATTTAGAAATATTTCGGTCTCTCTTTTGCTGTGTAGAAGAAGTGTGTGCTATGAATGCTGCATCTTGTTAGGAAGCCAGGAATTGCATGAGACATAAACCAATTCTCCTTTTTCCCCTTTTAATGTTACTACATCAAGCGGCGACCATTTAAAAACCTTCCCGCCGTTGGACGCGTTCCACCGAAGACCCTTTCTGGTAACTTGATTATTGACTGAGATTAAAACCAGAAAGTTCCTTAAAGAAAGAAATGTCAAGCTAAACATTATTTTCCTCCTTTGGTTTTCCACGCAAGCCTGGCGTCGCTCTAGACATCAGTTTTTTGTTTTTTTGAACAAGGCAAAATAAAGACCTAATTTACAGACGTTCCTCTTGAAAGGAGAGTGGTTTATGAATCTGTACGTGAGGGTGAACCACAGGGGCTGAAGAAATGCTACAGGAAGTAGATAAAGGAATGCAGGGAGCTGTTCCCAAGGCCGTAACGCAGATCTCTTTCCTGTTGATCATATCATGTCCTGCGCTGGCCGCATGAAATCATTCTGAATTTGTTGTATTTTTGTTTTATCTCTTTGGCTAATTATCTTCATATGGCATGGTGTTTACAGTATGGTGTAGATAGCAAGAGCGCCGTCATTACACAGTGGTTTTAATTAGTTTATGTTTTTATTGTAATGAAGCAGAACTGCTCCGTATCTTAATGCATCTGTGATTTATTTTTATTATTGCTATTTTTATTTTTTTTACTAATTTCCAATAATTTGCTTGCTACTTATGCTTATACAGTCCTGGAAACAGCAAATTATATATATATATATAAATATCATATTTTTATATATTTTATCTTTTTTTGTTTTAGAGACAACTGTATGTAAGCAGTTTTTAAGTTAATGAAATGTAAACGTTTCATGGTTCGGCCAATGGCATGAGTTTTGGGGCAGGGCTATTTGTTTAAATGACCAGTGGCAGATGGCGGAAGCTTTTTAATCATTTTTGCACAAAAATATCACACTTCACCTTTTATAAACTGATATTTCTTTTCGTTTGTCTCAAAAAAGGAAGTTATGTTTGAACAACTCAGAATAATAGGCTTTATTTATTCATTCATATCTTGAAAAAGGCTGATGGCTGAAATGTTGGTTTGATGAATAAATAAGCCTAGTTTTGCCATTATATTTTCTTTTTTTATATGCACCTTGATATCTAGGTGAGGGTTTATTTTTTCATCTTTGTAAAGTAATTTTTTTAAATTTGTCCTTGTGGGACTTGAAATTATTCAGGAAATTTTGGGCCATGAATCAGTACGATTTCAAGTGTCCGAAGACAATTCAGGAATCTAAAATGGATGCAGTTAGCCTGATCTTTTAGGGACGTGCTCCATTGGGAGCAATATAAAAAAAAAAATCCCGAGGCAAAACAGACTGAAGCCTCGTTGGAGTTTCTGTGTTGGTTTTAGTGAGTGTGTGTGAGCCGCTGACATCATTCTCCATTGATAAGATTGTGCTGGCAGTGGTCAGCGCTCATCAAAACCCACTTCATGTTCGCTTGCATGTCCTGCAGTGAATTTCACCCCCACCTTCTAATTTTGGTCACAAAAAACAGTGAGCTCTCGTTCAGAGCTGCGTACTGACTTCATGCATCACTCCATGCTAATAAAACTTGATTGTGCCGGGGATAAAGTTTAAGGGGGTGGGGGGGCTTCAGGCTTCATCAGTCTGGTATTTTTAACAGCTGTTTTCAGTTATTACCTCGCAGTCAGAGCTTCCTGGGGCCTCGGGAGGGAGGGAGGGAGCGGGGTGCAGGGGTGTAGTTAGGGGTAAAGCATTATGGGAAAGAAACGAAGCAAGCTGTGGGTATGAGGGTGCCAGGTGGGTGAAAAAGTGGGCATGCGTCCAGGAAGTGTGTGTGTACGCGTCCTGTTGGCTTAGTTGGAGCACGTGAATGCTGCGATAACGCGTTATCTCATCACAGCCCTCGACGGTCTCACATGGCCTTGTTGTGCCCGCTGCTTCATGCCAGGCTGAAAAGGCCACGGGAGATCTGATATCAACAGCATCAGGATTTTCTTGTAGGGTGAGGTGTACTTTCAGCTAATTCCTTATGTGATCAGTTGCTTGTGATATGGTTATCATGGCATGGTTTTAATTACTGCTGTTTTTCCCTCCCTAATGTTACCTTTAGCACAAAGAATGCATGTCTTCTGATTTACGAAACCTGATAAATAAGAGAGTGGCTGATATGGAGTTTTTGAGGGCCGATTCCAGCACTATTATGCTTTGTGAAATTCAGCTTGCGTAGCTAGAAGCATCTGCATTCACATACTCGCCTACAGCATGTTTCGGGCCTTATTTTATGTAATATTTATAATGCAAAAATTTTTTAAGGATGCACAATATATATTGGTATCATATTGGTTATCGTTTTATATGTATATTAGCCGATATTGTGTATTTAATAGTGCATGCTCATGTGTCTTTTTACATTTTGATTACCATCATCTAAAGCAAATTTAAAGTTAATTTTAAAAATAATAATAATTTAATAACAGTGTTAAATGTTATCTTTAACAAATCTCAAAATAAATATCCATTTTAATACAGTACATTATAATGTTGTGATATTCAAATTCTACTAAATTCACTTGATTTTAGTGTTTTATTTTTTAAATTTATTATCACCTGAAATGTCGTAAATGTCTTATATGTCTTATATTGAGTGGAATTTTAATTTCTGCCATGTATTGTATGTAGGCCATATGGAAGAATCATGGTTTTATCAGTATTGGGCATTTTAATATCAGTGCATCTCCGTTATTATCCATTGACAGTGCTCATTGGTAGATGGACCTGCCACTAAAGTGTCGAAATTTTAGAGATTTACTAGTATCGACTTGCTCCAAAAAAAAGTGCAGTATCTTCAAAACGGCAGTTAAGCCCACAAATAATTGTCCAGACACTGAAGGGCGTTGCTGGCATTAGCAATGAGTGTATGTATTATTGTGATGGTGTCAGCCGTAAACTGCGCCCATATTGAGCGCCTTTCCCCATCTTAAGGAGTCATCGTGGAGAAGCTTTTTGTGGGCAGGGGCTTGGGGGTGGGCAGGCAGCCCCGATTCTCGTGTGAAATGAGGGATGTTCTATAGTGACTCTTGGCCGAGGCGGTTGGGAGTGTATGGGAGCTTTTATGAATAGGGGCCTTTCAGTCGTTCAGTATGGCTCTGAAAGGCTGAACAAAAGCCTAGAGGGTGGCGACTGAGAGCTACACGGTAGATCCACAAATACTTCACTTTGCAGCGGCGTAGTCGTAATCCCTAAGACATCAGCCATTCCAAACGAACGTATTCAAGAAATGTCATGTAAACAAAGTGGACGGCTGACAAATCTTCGAGAAGTTTAACGCCATAATTGGCGTTCAATTGGCCAGGCTTATAGTTGTCAAAATGCTGGATTTGTTGTCCGTCTGGGAGTCTTATTCAAACTATGGCTGCTGAAATTATGTGGGACGTTGTTTCCCTGTATCCTACATGGAGATGGGTCGTTTTTCCATGCGTTTGACAGTGAGATACATCTTCACATTGTTTCAGTTAGGGGTGAGAGGTCAAGGTTCACAGCCTGTTGACGTGACTCACAGTTGAGTGAGCTCCAAAGTTCCCAGATTCCAGTAGGGGGGGTCGTCGATTTTACTCTCCCCTTCCCTGCTAAACTCTCCATTAGGATTTGCTCAGAGCTGTCAGACAACATGTGGCATAAAAAACAGCCTCACACACCCTGCCGCTCACTTCCTCTCAAAAACGATGGTCCGTGGTGTGATGATTAATTAGAAAAGAAGAAAAAAAAAAAACCTTGCTCCAGACATTCATTGGGCCACCACCGTCTGGCTCATGCAGATTGGTGGAGTGGAAGTGACATAACCGCTAGCACAAAAGAGCAGCAGTGTGATTGGAGGAGATTGCGCATTGTGTGCCATTGGGGGGTCCATCATAGACATGGCGCTTCTACAGCTCTCACCCTGACCACAAGGTTGAGAGTGGCTCCATTGTCAAATGACATGTTCACACTGGACCACGAGCTTGTGTGTGTGTGTGTGTGTGTGTGTGTGCGCGTTTTTGTGACAAATGAGGACATAAATTTGTATAATGACAAGGGTATGACATAGGTATTACAAGGAGAAGGTGACTTTTCAGGACATTACCCCACGTCCCCACTTTTCAAAACGGATATAAATCACACAGAATGGAGTGTATTGAAAATCTGAAATAGCACAAAGTTTCCTGTAAGGGGTAGGTTTAGGGCTAGGGTTGGTGTAGGGCAATAGCACAAACAGTTTGTACAGTATAAAAACCATTACGCCTATGGGATGTCCCCACTTTTCACAAAAACAAACCTGTGTGTGTGTGTGAGTGCGTGCGTGTGTGCTCTTTTGTTTGTTCGTGAGAGTGTATGTCTTATCCAGCTGGGCCTTGTCGGTCAGGGCATGGGCCGCCCCTCCCTGTGCACAGCTGCAGTTTGGACCCAGAGGCGCAGTTGAGGGCTTGTGAAAACCCCCTGAGGCTTCCTCATTTCTCCAGATGAGTACCTCATTGTAATTGACTGAACAGGAGTGCACTTATTTTTTCTTTTCTGGACTTTGTTTTTCGCTTTCTTATAAACTCTTCAAAAGTGAGTTTTAGTTGACAGCATTGTTCAGAAAGTTAGGGGATATAACCATTGTTTCCAACGTAACTGTAGGCTTCAAACAGATTTTCCCAATCTGTAATATTTCCAGTTGTTCATTTCTTAAAGGTTTGTCAAAAATGGTTACCTTTCCAAGAGTTACATCCTCTAATTTTGATGGTGTTGTAGTCAACCAAAACTCATACTCCTCTTTGGGTTTTCAGCAATTGTAATGGTTACCACGTGCTCCCAGATTGGGTTGAGTAAAATGTTGGAAAACTTTTCCAACAGTTATATCTTCTAACCAAAAATCGTTAGAAGGAACTGTTGGAAAGGTATTTACTTTTGACAAGTTAATAAGTAATCCAAAATGGAGAATGAGTTTTTGTTGGCTACAATGTCACCAAACTTATGGGATGTAAGTGTTTGAAAGTTTTGAGGATGGACTGTAGGAAATGTTTTCAGCCTTTAACTTTTCCAACAATAATGACCCCTAACTTTGTTGATGCTGCACACAACCAGAACTTGGGTCATTTTGGGTTTCTTACAGACTTGTTGAAAGTGGTAACCTTTCCAAGAGTTATGTCCTCTACCTTTGTTGACGTTGTACTCCTCCGTTAGTGGAAATTAGTGACATGGCAGTTGCAGTGGTTACAAAGATCTACAAGTTCATAAGAAACTCAATATGGAGAATGAGTTTTGGTTGATGTAAAATGTCTGAGAAGTTAAGGGACGCAACTCTTGACATTGTCATCAACCACAACTCTTCCTCCATTTGGTGGCATTCATGACACATATGATCAATATTTATGTTTTTAATTTTCGACCAAGGCGCCAGTTAGCTCGTTGTTTAGGTTTAAACCGTTCACTTATGATTGTAAACAATTCCTAGCATCACATCTCGCTCTCTCTGAAACACTCCCACAGTTTGTCACAGCCAATGTCGATGGTGCGTTCCCCCAGCCGCCCAGCTCCTAGACCCAATCTCATGAAAAACCACACAAACACGCTGTGTGTACTTTAGAGCTGGTTACAGCTGCGAGCAGTGAAATCTGGATTGTGTTAGCCCATGCACTGTGATTTATAAATTGTTTCTCAGGTCATAAATTCCCACTATAATTGCACTCCAAGCCCCCTTCCACTCTCCTCACTCTTTCTCTCCCCCCTTTTTTCCCTCTCTGTCTTTCACTCCTTCGCCTCCTGCGCTTCGGCGGTACGTGGTCCGGCACTAATTGTTTGCAGAAAGGAACTGGTTTGACAAGACAGAAAGTTTTTGAAATTAGACAGGGCGGTCACAGTTGTGAGTCAGGGCTGTGCGTCGCAGGTACGGTGTGTCATGCCTCCATATCGCCCCCCCTGAACTGTTATTGCACAATAGCAGTTGTTAATGGTCTAAAGATAATGCTTCAATCATTTAGTGCAATTTAGCAAAAATCTGCATTATTTCCTCTCCTGCATTTAATTGCATAGGGTTTTTTTCTGAATGCGAAATTCGCTCCCCCAGGCCTCTCTGTGGTAGATTCAAGTTTTATACTTAGCCAACAGGTTATAAAAAAATACCCTGTTTAGTTGTTGTGCCTCAAGTTCTCCATATGGAGGAAAGCTTGTCAACAAATCCACTTTAAACGAACAAACTGCAGTGGCTGCTTTGTAAAGATTTTCCAGTTCTGTTGCAATCTGGTGACATGATTGTTTTGCGCTTTTGACGCCCGTTAGACTTGTGTTTTAGCAGGAGGGGTATATTGGGGAAGGGGTGAAGTTTGAGTTAGTGTGTGTGCTGGGGGGAGCTAGTCGACCAAGAGAACACAATAAGCTCTTTGTCTTCATTATGCACTCAGCATTTGGGAAAAGGATGAAGATTTCTTTATTTTGCTTTATCTTCAACTGTCTTTAGAACCAATGCACCATATTTGGACCTCTGATTTTCGATGCATATGCTATGCATAATTTAGTCTATTCAAATACTTACAGCTTGCATTGTTGTTGGTCAATTTATTTATATTATTATTACTGCAAAATATAGTTATCAGAAGTTGGATGCCTACAAAGTTGAAGATTGCTATAGCAAGCATTTTTGGGTTATAAAGTGGCTTTGTTAGCCCTCTTGGCTGCTTGTGGGTTAACAAGCCCAGGCTGTTCATCGTAAACCCGGGTATAGTTTGGACTGCAGTGTTGTAACCAGATACTGAAATACTGGAAACCGCATAACTGACTTGTAATTGACTTTAAGGAGGGTGACTGCATTTCGCCTTTGCAGAAAAACAGAGCTCCCAACAGACAGCTTATTACTTTCCCGTGGTCGTAATTATGTGTTGGGTTTTATTTGACCTACTGTTTTGTCTTGCGCCACAATAACACTCTTATTCCTCGTGTTGTCAAAGTTTGTTTGTGCTTTTCTCTGGAAATAATTAAAAAGAGATC